TGCCTCTGCCTCTCAAGTAGCTGGGACCACAGGTGCCCGCCACAATGCCTGGCTATTTTTTGCTTGCAGTCATCATTGTTGTTCGGTGGGCCCAAGCTGGATTTGAACCCGCCACCTTAGGTGTATGTGGCTGGCACCTTAGCCACTTGAGCCACAGGCACCAAGCCAGTGTTGAGACTTTGAAAGCCATTTTATGTGTGAAATATAATTTAACAAATTCTTGTGAAAAATTTCATGACCTTTTAAATAACAACAGCAATCTACTAAAAAAGTTTCAGTCAAATGAGAAATATGCCAAAGAATAAAATAATACAATACATAATTTTTAATGTATTATATTTGTAAATTATACTTATGCTGAAATTTTAAAAAATATATTACAAAACTATTTTTGCATTCTATGAAAATTTTTGTTGCTTCATATAGACCAAATTTTTAATTAAGAACCCGACCCCTACCCCCAACCTCCCACCCCACCCCAACCCCCACCCCCCATCAATGGCATCCGGCTTTACCAATGTTAAAATCTGGTCACCTTAGTTTTACCCATGAGCATCAACCACTGGTAATGTCACAAAATGGGAGATGAGACATTATGTGCCATTCTACAGTGGAAGAGATGAAACAATTCTCCACATGACATTGAAAAGGTAAACCTCATCAAAGAGTTTGTATTGAATGCTAGTGGAGTGAGGAGGCATTGCAGGCTTTAACGTTTTGAAAAATCACTCCAGCTACATTGAATTGAGTTGAGAATTTATGCTAGAGGCTGTCAACTGCCATGGGTGTAGCAGCCTCAGGGGAAAAACCTCTGTGCCCAAATATCTTCCACCAGCCTCACTAAAGACCTACCATGTCACATTATGTGTGTTCAAGAGCAATATAGCTAAAGATTGGAATTCCTGTTTAGACTATGATTTAAATGCAATAGTGTTCTAGCACTAAGTCATGTGGTTTTATAACTCAATTATAAAGACAGTGCTCTTGTAGCAGTGTTTTATAACTGAAAGACTAAAATAGAATTAAACTATGGTTTTTAAGCTATTAAATAAGTTTTGTTTTTTACTTGGCATCATGAAAATGACATAAGATGCAACCGTATATTACTTAGGATACAGGCCACCATGTAGCAAGCAATATGTGCTCACACCAAATGAAGCCTGCACAATATAGCAGATAGTCCAAAAGCAAGTTTTTCAGTGATTCCAAGTCCTTAAGCTGAACATTTGAAAAGATGGCTGATTAATGGTCAGTCATTTTTTTTTTAATTATGTGAATGAGTCATTTGAGTATTTATTTCCTTCAACAATCTAATAGAAAGTTTTGGGCAAAAACTAAACACTTTTTTTTAACATCTGCAATAATTGAATTTGAAGTCCGGATATCATTTCCTGTTCCTAATTTCAGTATTAATTGGTTTAGATACTCATTTAATGTAGATGTAAGTAACACTAACTTAACTACAAGGGAATAAGATAGTTTTATAAAGATATCAAGTCACATCTCATAAAGTTGACATTAGAGAAATGCTTTCTGACAAAGTTTTTGTGAAGTATTAAGTTCAATTATCTCGTACAAGTAAAGTCTTGAAATTACAAACAACATTTTGTATTTCTGGTGTGACAAGCTTATGTAAATGGAAACTAGATTATACAAGGAGATTAATATTTGTCCATTTTTTCCCCAATATTGGTGATTGCACTTCAGCAGAGCAACATTATTCATCAGAATAAATTAATGTCACTAAAGTGAATTATTTTGAGTTTGTGGTTATTTAATTTTATAAATTTATAGATTTCATGTTTATATAAGTACTATAAGCATAAGGAAATTATAAGTAGCTTTTTCTTTTAAAACAGGATGAAGGCTCGGCACCTGTGGCTCAAGTGGCTAAGGCGCCAGCCATGTACACCCAAGGTGGCGGGTTCAAATCCAGCCCAGACCTGCCAAACAACAATGATGGCTGCAACCAAAAAATAGCCGGGTATTGTGGCGGGCACCTGTGGTCCCAGCTACTTGGGAGGCTGAGGCAG